CGGTTCACACCTCACCTCAGTAGTATGGATAGGGTTTGGCAACGCTGCCCTACTGACTCCGCAATGGCGTTCCTATGATACACTTCTCGATTGCCCGTTGTAGAGGAGTCCGCAGAAAAACCCAGGCCTCCTATTTTCTTCTCATCATTATTTTTTCTCTTTCAACCTAAAAAAGTTCTAACTAATACGGAGTATTTTTAAATTATTTTAAATATTTCTTTCCTAACAATATAGTATATTTGTGTATTCTATTTATAAATGAAACCAATTTGGTGTTCAAATTTTATTGTGGTAATTGACGATGTTTGTCCTACTTATTTTTTAGGAAGTTGACTTAGGTTGACTCTGCTATGAGACGAAGGTGCCATTCAATTTGATCTCCTTATCAGTGGATGCATAATTAAGTCTTTTTTATAGTAATTTTAATACCTTTTCTATTCTTGATTACTGATTAAGTAGCAAGAGTCTCTATTGATAGAGAAGTCTACATATCTAGATGTTTGTATGGTTGAGGAATTGTTATGTTCTTTTGAAACCTTTCAATTTTGTGTCTTATCTCATTCTATTATTGGGTCATCCAGGTTACTTTTATACTGATCACTATTAAATAAGAATTTTCTTTCAAAAGAGATTTCGAATACACTTTGTAATAATTACTACATATTACTATTATTTTAAAAAGTGTAAGTTGCTACACATTCTTATAATCTAAAATTATTAAAATCTATAATTTAGTAATACACGCAAAATAAGAAAAATTGATAAAGCATTATGAGAGAGAGTATCATATTAGGATGTACAAAAAAAATCTGAAAACAGTTAAGCACAAACTAGGATGTGGTTAATTAAATCTTTTTCTTGTTAATAGATATGTGTTTAAGCACAAGCGGGGTCTCATTCAGCTTCTATCCCTTCGTTTTAAAGCATATTTTTTTTCTCCTCTTCTGCCATCATCATATCAGTATATCACTACAAGAAAAAGTATCATTTGTGTCAAATTTCTTTGCGTCGACTAAAGTGGACATGAATAACTTTATTTTGCGTTGACGGGTAAACACAAAAAAAAAATTGTGTCCAGATATTTGCATTGACCTTCCTCAAATCCGGCAAGGCTATTAGGATTTGTGGGATAACTTGGCTCAAGGGTTTGTTAACAAAAATGCCCGTGCGGCCATTTTGGAGAGAAAGATACCCATGGAGCCATTTTAATAGCTCGAACCACCATAACTTCATTAATACTTGCAGCTCGAACCACCATAACTTCATTAATACTTGCACGTTTTTGTAAGTTTGGTGATAGAGTATATGGGCCCAAGCCCACGTTTGGTGATAGAATATACGGCCCAAGCCAACGGCCCACATACTCCATGGGTACACAGACAAGACTACACCCTACTAAAATACTCCTCGACTGGGCCCTCTCGTCCAGCCTAGAACCACCCACATAGAAAGATTCCCAGAAAGGATGACCTCCAGACTAGGGGTGAGATCGGGATGATCCCGATCCTGATTACCCAAATCCCGATCCCGTCCCGATCCCGATTCAAACTACAAGAGGATCACGTATCTCGTCCCGATTAAGTTAGGATCCCGACATTAAAATCCCGATTAAGTCGGGATCCTGATCGAGAATCCTGCTTAATCCCGCTAAATCCCGACAATGAAGTATCAAACATAAAATTATGTAATTTCTTTAGTTTGATATTTAGTGGTTTCAAGATTATTCTCTATTCATTATATTGTTATACCATATTTATCATCATCTACTTATAAAATTTATTATAATAATTATCATCTCAAATTCACACTAGTACATACTTTTATTATAATTTTTATTTGTAATTTCAATTAATTAATAGTATAATTTTTGAATAAGCTATCAAAACTTAGTGAAACTTACTTCAAACATTATATAAAAATTACTAAAAGAAGGATGTGTAATATATATTATTTAAAATTCAAAACTAAGTAGACTCGTTGAGAAACTTTGTGACCAATGAATATAATGAATAAATACATATTATGATTATTTACTAAAGAAATAAATCTTAGTCTCGATCATTATTTTTTAAAGAGTTCATCAGAAACGCAAAATTTGTAATATTGTTGTGATTTAGATTGTCGGGATCAAGAATAATCTCTATTTAGTTAGGATCCCAAATATTCATTTTTGGTCAAATGCCGAATAGTTTTAGAAGATTGATATTGTAAGATACTCGTAGTAAAAGATTAATCTATGTAAGGAACAAATAATTAAAAAAGATATACAAGTATTTAGATACATATTCATTTTTTATATATTCATATATAATTATATACATGTATGTATGTGTGTGTGTGTGTGTGTGTGTGTGTGTGTGTGTATATATATATATATATATATATATATATATATATATATATATATATATATATATATATATATATATATATAATGTCGGGATTTTCCCGATCCCGACTTTTAAAAAAAAAAATCCGGTCCTGTCCCGACTTAGTCAGGATCGGGAAAAATTCTCGACTAATCGGGATCAGGAGTTTTTTCCCAGCCCTACTCCAGACATGGATCAAGGAATTTAGCTCAAGAACAGTCGCCATTGCCTGGCCTCCTCGGTCTGGACGCCTTGACTTGGGCCTTTAGCAGATATCCTTTCACATTATACTAATTAAAATAGCTTCGTATAAACAGCCTTTGAGTAGCCCATCATTGTAATTAGGTCTCCTAGGCCCAAACCTAGGAGTCCAATCCAAATTCCCTCTATAAATATCCCCTTGGCCTTGGAGGTAAGTGTAGGGGGTTGAAAAAAATCGAATGCAAATATCTTTCTCTCTAGAATTATACTCTATCATTTGGTGCTTTCATTGAGAGATCGAACAATCAAGTTAGTACGCTCGTTGCTATCAAACACTAGTAACACAAAGATGAGAAAGACTAGGTCAAACAAGAACCCCACGAACAAGGCCCTCCAGAACCCACTGGTCCAGACCGAGAAGGCGTCTGAGGAGGCTGCCATCAGCATATAATTGGCCCCACGGCCTAGAAGGCAGCCACGGAGGCTGTCACCAGCATATGGTTGACCCCATGGCCGAGTCGCCGAGGAGGCTGCCATCCAGCATATGGTTGACCGACTTGACCCCATGGCCGACCTTCGTAACAAGCTAAACATCACTGCCCTAGTGCCCTGGATGCACGCATCGACATCAAAGGAAGGCACACAAAAAGGATTGAACCCACCCAGGCTCAACAAACTACTCCCCCTATGGACACGCAAGCGGCACTGTCCATCATCACTGTCCATCATCACAGCGAGCCTCGCTCAGAACCCCGCAGACCTCTAAACATTCGACTTTTGAGCAACAATCATTTCTAATATTATCAACATTAAATTGTAGATATCGCTAAAAATTCTATCGAAACACAAAATATAAAAAATGAATTTAATAAAAAATCATACCCAACAGCAAAGAACAAGCAGTGATTATGTGTACTATTTGAACACTAAACTGACAAAGTCAACTTGAATGGAGAGTATCCTTGTATTGTATTGTACTATGTTTACCGCATACCATATTCGGTGAGTGAGTTCTATTCTCATACTTTATTTATACTTTAGAAATTGAACACAAACCATATAATTTCACTTCTCCTATTACTAGTAATAACGTAACTTGTCATATCTCAATCTTACTATCTTAGTGGCCTGTCAAATGTTAGGCATAAATTGTATATCATGCCTTACATTTATAATTTCACATGCCTAGCATTGGCCGGTCATATCACTTCTCCTAATACACATATTTTAATTATAAAAAAAATTATTACATTTTTTTAATAGAAAATTATATTAGGGCATCCTGGTGCATGAAGATATCCCGCAAGGTGACTGTCCGAGGAAGGATCCACCACAATGGTGGGGGCAAGCCTTCCTCTGTCAGTCACACAGATATACAGACTAAAATAGTTGGTTTTGGAATTGGTTTGGGATAGTCCAAGTAGACGGGACCGGTACCCGGATCATCCCATTCTGGGGGAAGGGACCCGGACCGGGCTAGGTCCGTCCAGAACCAGCCCATGTTTGTCCCAATTATAGGGACATTAAATTTCAAGCATTGGCATTTTAAGATAGATGCTGGAAGGAATTTCTTAACATCTAAACTCCAGCCTGTCAAAATGAGTATTTAAGAAAAATGATATAGTACTTCATCACCTGCTAGTGTTGTCTCAACTGTTGCACCTATTATCTAGTTAGTATACATACCTATGTCAAAGCACTCACAGCTACACAAGAGTGGGATAAGTGTAAAAAAACTCATTGAAAACAGATCCCCACATTCCACTATAGGATGACAATGTATTGAAAGAAGGCTCTTAGGCTCGGCAAGAAACATTCGGCAGAACGTTACTGAAAAAAATCAAAAGATGTAATTAGCCACAGACGGCACACCAGACGGGAAAATTAAGTACAAAAACCAAGGACAGACATCAAGTGTAAGAATATATGCAACAATGCAAAATATTCTAGAAGAAGTGTGTTTGGAAATATCCTTCACAGTTTTCTTTCCGCAAGTGTGTTGCACGACTATATCTCGAACGAAAATACATCATACGGTGACCCATGAGAGTTAACATAAATTGATGGTATGTTTGACACAACTAGTTGTAAAGACACTTGTGTGAACTTTTTAGTAACCGTTGGCTGACCGATAAAATTTAAAAAACAAAAACAAAAAAGATTGCACATGTTTAACAAAAAAGGTGACGGTTTGATTTAGTCTTGTTTGGTATAACAAGTTATTGTGACTAATTAATGTTAAAAGCTATAGACATTCTCTCGGAAAAGCTACACTGAGCAGCTTCCAAGAGAAAGTTTGTAGCTTTTAACATTAATTAGTAATGACTTTTAACATTAATTAGTTACAACAACTTTTAAAAAGATATTTTATTTAAAGAAAAAACTCTTAAAAATTGATGAGTCAAATAAACAACCAGAAGACTTTTTAAATAGTAAAAAAGCTAAAAGCTAGGGACTTATGCCTATCAAACATGCACTAAAGCATACACTAAAACATACACAGTAGGATAATGAAACCCTAATTTCTCCTGCATAAAGCATGGGAGCACGTCTTTAGACAAAACAATACCATTAATCGAAACATTTAAGCTACTTCATATATGCACTTCATTCTGGTTGCTCCAACTACGAGGTTGTACTAGACTACTAATTGCTACCAATATAAGAATTTGCATATATGAAGTTTCCTCCCATTCAATACATTTGGCAACTCGAACTCACACTTTCACAACAAACACTTCCATTTTTGAACACTTTCCCAGCTAACCTGATAATAAATTCACGGCTTAGCCAGAGATAAAGAGCTGACTACAATCGCATAATAAGAATTAAGAAGTTCTATGAAGGCAGAGAATATTAATATAGATTTTACAAAATGATATGTATACACTATGAATAAAATGAATAGCCCAGTAACACAAAGAGAACACAATAGACAACCAAATAAAGCATTGCAATAAAATCATTTCTTTGAACCATGCTAAATGCATGCCTAGTTAAATGATCAGTTTTTGTGTCAAAATGTAAAAGCTGGTTCTGACAACAGTTCACGGTATGTGTTTTGTGAGTATGTCTGCTCATAGATTTTTCAAAACTAAATATCTTTGTTCTCATAGGCTGTAAAAGTGTAAAGCCCTTAGAAGTTAGAAATGAGTAAATTTTCTTCTCGGAAACTCATCAGGGACTCTTTAAAACTCTCCAAACACTTTTTCTATTAAAAGATGGGGTTCCATGTTTCACCTTTCTCCATATTTGATGTTTCCCCTGTTTCCATGCAACATAGCTCATGGGTAAAAAAATACTGGCGATTGTTAATCATAATTAATATTACAAAAGCCACAGCTTTGTTTGATTTTCAAATTCCACTAGTATCATTGATAGTTTGTATACCCCAAATTTTTTATTTATATGTAAAATCCTTGACATTATATGCCTCAATTTTTGTGTATTCATAAATAGTTTAGAGCATCCTAAATGAATATAACTGAACTTTTAAAGATTGTTAAGTCTTTATTAAAACAAAGACTTAACAATTCTACAAGCAATGATTTCTGATATCCTGGTTTAAAAAAAAGAGCATCACAAAGAGAGAAAAATACAAGACAAATTTGGTGAAGCTGCTGTGATTCCCCAACACCACATTACAGACCCAGTTACTGCCATATGAGGCTTGCCTGAAGACGTGGCTCAGTTTTTCGCTTTCATCTTCTAGTGCATTGCTTCTCTTTTATTTTTAAATATTTTTAGGTTTCTTATGATGTTAACAATATATAATGTTTCTATCGGTTGCATCTTTGTACATGTATGCTTCTCTATTTTGTTATATTTTTGTATGGCACATGACAGTTTCAGTTTGCAATTAGACAAGGTGCTCTTTCTCAAATTTATTCCAATTTCCAAATTTGTTTCACCAAAAAATACTAGTTTTTTTGTACTATTCAAGTATGGCAAAGTTCAAAGTTCATAGTTGTAAGTATGACGCAACAAATTTTAAGAGCTTTTCAAAAAATTCAAGATCTTTTTTTTAGAAACTACACTCAGTGGTATTTGAGAAAAGTCCGTAGCTTTTAGCATCAATTAAACACAAAAGCTTGTTATACTAAACAGAACTATAACAAACTGTCACCTATTTACTATTTAAAAAGTCTCTTAAAGTTCATAGTTGTATGTTTGACACAATAAATTTTAAGAGCTTTTCAAAAAATTTAAGATTTTTTTAAGAAACTACAATCATGGGAAAAGACTGTAGCTTTTAGCCCTAATTTATCACAAACGCTTGTTATATCAAACAGAACTATATCAAACCGTCAGCTTTTTATCGAATAGCTTCAACCTTTTTCTTTTCTTTTATGATCTTTTCTGTCACTAAAAGCTAATAGTTACTAAAAAGCTTACAAAAGTATCTTTTCACTGGTCTTACCAAACATATCCTTAGTGCCTCACAAATTTGTTTAACTCAAAAGCAAGTATGACTAAGAAAGTAGTGCTTAACATGTTTTAAAAAACAATTACTGAAGAAGTAAAAGTAATGTCACCTCTAATCCCTAAAGCTCCAGCTTTGAGATATTGGGGCTTGGAATTAATATTTCTCTGTCTTTTAGCTGAAAAGTGTTTTTTTGCTTAAAAAAGAAAACACTCAGTACCTTTTTGACAAAAGGTCCATTCACTCAACTCGAGCCCTTACTTAAAAAGCTCTACATTTGATGAATCGCTGATGAAGTGTGATGAAAGATACACACTATATCGACTACAGCAACACTGATCTTTCTTTTGAATATCATAATTGGTTTTTCCTTAAATATTACTAAAATATTACTCTGTACTATAGTTACTATGCATAGTCACAATAGTGATAGAGTTGAACGTCACTAAAGTTACTATGGTAGTCACTAAGTCATATTTTTGTCCACCGCCTTTATTTCGGTTACATATTTGTCATTATTTCATCATAATTTACAGCAAGTTTCTAGATTACAAGATCAACCATTCACATGACATTTACAGTAAACCAATGTGCAATTTGGAAGCAGACTCGTTGTAAACAGCCAAATCATGAAACCATCAACACGAAAATGCATGTGGCACATACTAATCATAATTTGCCTAAATTTAATCACCACTGTCGACTAATTACATCATATTTTCCCTCCTAATGATAACAACAAGCAATACATTGCGGCATAATTAAATTTAATAACAGAGTTATCAAAGGAAAAGTCACAGTGAATAAAATTCACCTGAAAGGGCAATCAAACCATCACGAAAGTCTCACTTGGCACTGCTTTGGGCCTCCTACCAAGTTGCCAGACGATAAACTGTGTGCCTACAATGGAAGGTCACGGGAAGGTAAGATAATGGGTAGGAAACATAAACGCTGCAAGCAATATGGGAAAGTGTTATATTTAACGCAGACTAGTTGAAATGTTGTACCGTATGGTTTCCAAGTCGCACATTCAAATCCCGACAATAGGCTCTCAAATACCTCCCCCTTGCCCTCCATGAACCGGCCTTGAACCTAACCCTAGCCAGCATAAGGACATCGAATTCAACATTGGGGTTCGACTTGTTGATCCCTTCCACAACCCAATTGTCCACAAACGTTGAAGCCGCAGAAAACGTCGCCTTGGAGGGTGTCTCGCTATACGAATCCTGAGAGAAAGGCGCCACACTGGTCCAAGCAAGCAGCATCGAGTGGCCGTAGTAAACTGAGGCATAAATATCGTCATAGTAGAGACTGAACCTCTTAGTAGGGTTTCGAACCGTGAACTTCAAGTCCCAATTCGCTGAGAGGAAGTTGCTAGAGAGGTTGAAATCGGAAACCGAAAGCGAATCGACTCTGACCTCGGGGACTTTGGGACGGAAGATGACCCAGAGGACCATGCCAACAACCATAGCGATGACGAAGCAGGCCACGAGCACGAGCAGAACGCGTCGGAGGAAGATGCGGCGCGGGTTCATGTAAACATCGGTATTGTTGATGTAGTAATTGCCGGGCTGTGGATATGGGTAGGCCGAGCTGGGCTGTGGATATGGGTAGGCCGTGCCGGCGGGAGGAGGGGGGTAACCGTTGGGTGGACAGGCAGGGTAGCCGGTGACGGGCGGCGGCCTAGTCGGATCGCCCATGGTTGCAGAGAGTATAGAGCACCTGAAGACTACTTACTGCGTACGATTAGCAGAATTTGGGCAAGGAATTTGATAGCAGAATTCTCTCCTTCTGGATATAACAATCAGAATAATTATACTGCACCGTACTACTTACCATATACGAATAACGCGGTGAGAAGATAACAGCAAAATTGCGTCTGAATTTAGCTACCTCAAATACGCACTATGACATTCCTTCACGAAGAAGATAAGACAGACCTTAGCATTATTCTTTTATTTTTTAATTAAAGTTGTGAGTTCTCTATAATATTTTACTTTATATTTTAAAGATTGCTACACTTTTTTTTTTGAATGTTTTTAAAATTTTACTACATTTTTCATTTTTTGATAATTTAAAAATACTTAATTCACCCTCTTTTTATAGGAAACACTAGTAAAATTATATCCAATTCATTTTCATCATTTTCATTTACCCGAGTGCTGCAAAGGCTCCCCCCACCTACGGTGGAGTAAGGGGTGTCGGATGTACGCAGTTTTACCCCTGTACTAAAACACATAGAGACTGTTTCCGGATGACTCATAGTAAAAATCGGGTCCAAAATTGCATGGACTAACTGTTGCTTCATAACAAACAAGCGTCAAACAGTTTAGTGAGTTATTTTTGTTTTATTCCATCATATTCTCAAGCAAAAAAATAATGAATTTTTGGCTCCATTGCAAATGATGGAAATTAGTAAAATTATATCCAATATCACAAAAATTGATGAAATTTTTTTAGCATCTTATTTATTAATTCTAGTTTACTAATACCAAATTTCAGCTATAACTTCAACCGGGAAGACATTCAAATGAATTCTTGAAGATAATTGCGCAGTTAAAAACGTAGTTAGTACCAACCGGGAGTTATTGAAGAACGCAGTTTTTAACTGCGCATTTCAAGACATTCAAATGAATTCTTGAAGAACATTCAAAAACGCATTTGGAGTTATTACCGGTGTAACTTCAACCGGGAAGACATTCAATAATTGCGCAGTTAAAAACGCAGTTATCTTCAAGAATTCATTTGAATACCTTCCCGATTGAATTGTTAGCTAAAATTAGGTATGATAAAACTAGACTTAATGAACAAGATGATCAAAAATTTCATCAAAAAATTACACCGGTAATAACTCCAAATGGCGACGGCTGGACAGAACCTCCTATATAAGAGCTTATTTAACCTTTTTTGTTAGTACGTGAGCAGCGGTGAGCTTATTTGCCTTTTTTCCATTATTTTCTAATATGAGTTGTGAAAAGTACATACAATCAATCCCAAATGCGAAATGCATCTCTATAGAACAAAAGTTTAAAGAAGTCCTTATGTAGGAGGCTATGTCCGGTCATCGCGATTTGGGGCGGTTCCCGGTGGAATTTTTTGATGAAAATTTTTGAGCATCTTATTCATCAAGTCTAGTTTACTCATACCAAATTTCAGCTAAAACTTCAGTCGGGAACGCATTCAAATTAATTCTTGAAGCTAATTGCGCAGTTATCTTCAAGAATTCATTTGAATGCCTTCCCGATTGAATTGTTAGCTGAAATTTGGTATGATTAATTAAACTAGACTTAATGAATAAGATGATCAAAAAAATTCATCAAAAAATCCACCGGGAATAACTCCAATTGGATAACAAAAAATTTCATCAAAAAATTCTAGATAACTGCTCATTTAATTGCATAGTTATCTTCAAGAATTAATTTTTAATGTGTTCTCGATTGAAGTTATAAGATGCTCAAAAAAATTCATAAAAAATTCCACCGGGAACCGCCCCAAATCACGATGGCCGGATAGAGCCTCCTATACAAGAACTTATTTGACTTTTTTTTATAAAAGTTCAAGGATCCATTTGACAGTTTTTCCTTTTAAAGAAAGATTTAAAAATGTCCTTTTCATAAGCAGCTCACTTTTCGCCAAAGAGAAAATGCAATTCGCATTACATTCTGACTAGTTACTTCACCCGTACGTCGCACGAGAGTGAAGTACCTACTTAATACTTCCTCTACCCCAAATTGATTTGTAATGTCAACATTTCTTGGTTAACCAATTTTAAAGTTAAATCATTCCTACTGAAAATTGATTCAATTTTTAATAATTAAAATTTACATATTCAGAATCTACATTAAAAGTTATACAACACTACTAGAAAAATGTCTTATAGTGACACTTTGCCTGTGACACTATAATGACATAAACACCTTTATGACACTTTTATATCAGTAATTTGTGACACTATTATATCAACTTACAAAGTGACAGTTCAACACAGATTTTAATTAATTTTTATATTTTTTAAAATTTCAGAAACACTTATACATATATACGTGTAAACCTGTGCATCTCTCATTCACTTCAAGAGTCAAGACACACAAGCTCTCCTCCATTGTGACTTAGCCCCCTGAGTCGTCCAGACGGATGAACTCATCGCCATTCATCCACCGGTCGCACAACTGGCCGCCTGGACGACTGGATGTCGATCGTTCCCCCTTCGCCGGCACTACCTACGACCTCAGTTCCTCTCGAGCTCGCCCCTGCCTTCGCTGATTGACGGATCGAGTTGGTGACTGGTGAGTCCTCTCTTCTCCTTGCGATTTTCGGTCAATGAACGGAGACACTAGCCGTAAGGTACTCGATCTCTAGCTTATCATTTATATCGCTACCTCCTTAAAAATTGAAAATCGCATCTCTGGACCATCTCAACTGAAATTCTGAACTTAATTCTTATGTAAAAATGTTTTTTTACATGTTATATACTTTTTCTCTAGATTTGTGTATTTCTTGGGTTTTTTAATTTCTTTTAGTTTGATAGAAAATGGAAATGTCTATTCGCAGCTCTTATGTTTCTAGTATAATGTCTACTAACTGTTTGTAAAAATGCCTCAGTAAAAATGAACAAGTACTCTTTCTCAATCATGTAGCCTAAGATCGCAGATTTGGGACAGAACAGAGCAAGATAGATTTAGGAGTTATATACCCTGCAAAATCAGAGGCTCGTGTGTTAATGTGAATGTTTATGGTGTTCCAAGTCCGCACACATTCATTAACAATGTAAAGTGAATGTTAAACATCCTTCTTGGGGTGATGTTTCCAGCTTGTGCTGAAGCAGCTGGACTGCCACCTGAGATGGAGGGGTTAGACATCCTTCTTGGAGGCTTAGCAGGTTTGTCCTTGCTATGGTTGAGATCAAAGCCACTTATACTCTTGCTCACTAATTGTCCGGGCTTTACCCTTCTGGTAGCAAACGAGTTAAAGGAATCGGCTAGTGGCGGCTTTTCCTCATTCTTGAAACTGTTTATTTAAAAACCTCTATAAGATAATTCCTTCTATCTGCATTTCTTATTGTAAAAAGATCCTGGTATGACAAGCTGCTATTTTTAATTTATAAGTTATCCTACCCAAAGTAGTCTAAAGTGTTATAATAAGTTTATTCACTTCAAGGATAAAGAGAGTGTGGCGAAACATATTATTTTATATAGCCTATGGCTCTATACAAATATTAATAGATACTTCCTCTTTAGAATACAAGTGTTCAGAAGTATTGTTTCAAAATTCTGCAGCAAGTTATATATCAAAGAACCTGTAGTTGTAGCAATATTTTGTTTAGTTATCATGTACGATAAGATGACAGTTGTACCAACTTTTGCTTAGTTGTGTATAATGAACTTATACTCTTATATTGCAGGTTCAGGATGTTTCATGTGAAAAGAGTGAGGGAGTTACTTGTGGGCTACAATACATCTTTTTAACACACACAAAAACTGAAAACAAGCAAAAACACAGGTTATTGGTCTGGTAATTAATGAGATACATGAGTTTATCCATACAATGACTCCAGGGAAGGTTTCCACCAATCTTATTTGTCTATATTGCAGTTTTTTCTCATAAATTGATGAACTTTCTTGACTGTTATATTCACTTAAGGTATAACCATAACTTGACTCCAGCAGGATCCTAAGAAGGAACGCGGGGAATTGAAAGCTTGGAAAAGCATGTGAATAAGTATGAGCCTGGGTAGATTCAACGAGTTGATTGGCTAATTGCCTTTCAATTCCTTCCAAGCCATGGTGAAAATTTAGGGATGAGAAGACAATAACTATGGGAGTTCTCACATTTACCTAATTGTTGATTATTGCGATTTTTTCAGGCTTATTTTCAGGTAGCTCTTCAAGTAAACTATATTATCTATTGTAGCCTTACAAAAGATAAATAAATATGGAGGTAAATTTTATTTACTCTAATGTAGTGTCTAACTGCAACCGAAACTACTGAGTTATTAATACTTTTAACTTATATGGTTATATTTCCCAACAGATTAATATGATTTTTTATGATATTAGTGCATATACTTCTATGGTTGTATTTTAATACTTCTATTTTATTGTTATCGTGTTGATGCGACTGTTCCAGTTTAATTTGCTTTGGGTATTGTGATATAGAAGGCAAAGTTGGATGGGAACCCATTTTTGTAGCACAAAGATTATCTTTAACTGCTTTTGAGTCGCCTTTAAGTATGATTAAGCGGTAGCATTTGTTTACCCAAGGTTCGATATTCCTTCCATCACAACTAATTTTTATTAGAATAAAATTTCTAGTGAGATAGAGAAAAAGAAAAACAATCAAGACATTAATGGATAGCAAAGTTGTAGTAAAGTCCACTCTAATGCTTAGTTAATAGTAGTATTTGTTAATTTTTTTTATTAGTTTATAATATTACGTTTTGTATTTTTTTAATATTCATGGTATGATGTTCTATTTTCAGCTATTCATATTCGAAGTAATATATTATAGGTATACATTATTATACGGATTCTATACACAATATTCAGACCAGTACGCACCTGAATGGTTATGTTTTTTGGCATATATACTATATGCAGTTGACTGGTGCCGGAATTCAAGCGAACCTCAGGGACTGGTGCCGGAGTCTATTGTTGCACTGTGATCACTGCTGTTACTGCTCAGAACACCGTTGGAGTTCAGGGTGTGCACATTGTGCCGAAAGATATCTTGGCGGAGCAGCTAAGGTGAAAACAGGCGTGCTTCCTTCTCCTGGCATAGTCAAGGTCCTCTGTCAGTCTCTTAAGGAGTTTCCCTTTAGAGTTTCACTTAATGCAGTAATCTTGTTTTCTTGGTTTAACTTTATCTGCATTTGAGTTGAATCAGCGAATTCGTTACAACAGTATTGGTGATTGATCCTGTTATGATCTCTACAAGTGGATTTAACTTGATACA